GATGATTGTAGATTTTTATACCTGAATAATATGCACCCTTTTGAAGTTTAATAAGAGAAGTACTTGGTGGAAATAGGTTAACATTCTTTCTGATACCAATATTATGTACCTCCGTATTTCTTGTAAACAAATGTATGTTATTTATAGTGTGCTGCATCAAGGAATATATGCAACAATAAAGTCCGAGGTCCACACCTGTAAAGGACAAAAAAAAAATTGAAGTGAAAGGAAACACATTACAAGGAAATGTGAGAAGTGTAATTATGGGATTCAAAACATCTATGTCATGAAAGCTGTGTATAATTATTGGCCAGAAACGTGTGAACAACATAATATCTGTCAACTATGTGTCAAAAAATAATGAAGAAGTAGGGATTATGCATGAAGACTTGCATTTACAAAAAAAAAATGATTTACAGTATGCGCTAAAAGTGCAGTACTGAAAGTCGCGCATCTCGAATGCGCATGTGCGTTTGTCGACGAGGCATAGCTCCAGCCGCGCGTGTTCCCAGTAGTGAAAAGGAAGTTGTGTTGTCCGTTTGTTGTTAGAAATGGGTCTCTCGACGCTCTCGATGGAGGCAAAAGTATTCATAATGGAGTATTATTTCGGCTCATACGGAAGTGGTCGCCAGAAAACTCGCTTGCTTGGTTTTGAGCGGCCAGATGTTATCGTCCAGAAACCGCTACATAGCACAGGTCTGACGATATGGTGTGCCGTCTCAGCACATGGTATATTAGGCCCCTATTTCATTGAGGATGAGGAAGGCAATGCTATTGCCGTCACCCAAGATGCCCAAGAACGCTACAGGATCATGGTTATCGGACCATTTCTTCAGGATCTGAGAAGGTTCTGTCGTGCAAGGGGCTTTCACATGAATAGACAGTCGTATCAACAGGACGTCTTTTCATTTCAGTACTGTAATTTTGGTGCATACTGTAGTGTTATCAAAATGGGGAGTAAATCACGGAACACCAACAGTGGTGTGGTGGATGAGTTCTTTATTGAGGGATTAGTTATCTGCACTCATGAAAAGAAACGATATATTGTACAATCTGAGATTCAAACAAAGGTGATTATGAAGAGTTCTATCTTCTGGGATATAGCGCTGTGTAGTCCGTCGGACGACGGACGTTTCGGAGGATAATGATAAAGGTAGCATCTCTGCATGCTACCTGTTTCACTCTGATGTCATTCTTGGCTAATCATGTTCCTCCAAAAAGTCGGTTTACTTTCAGCGGACTACACGGGGTTAAATCGGATATATGTCATAACCACCTCTGTTTGAATAGAAACTCCTAAAACTTCTTGTTTATTTTCATGAGCGCACAAAACTACTCACATAAATTCTTGCAATATAGCGCAACTGCCGAGGTTGGTAATGTATTTTTGCACCCACATTTTCAGTCAATGTACATGATAAATACCGTAGTATGATCTGTGATAAATAGTGTCGGGGAATGAAGAATAAGAAGAGAGTATTTATCGTTGAATAGGTGTTAGTTATTGTGTTATTCTCTGATTTAGGGTTAGTGGTGACCGGTGGTGACGGTTTGTTTTGTATTGTTTAATGTCAAAACAACATTAGAAATGTCAAAAAATCTAGATAGGGATGATCCTACTTGTGTAATTAAGATGTTAGATGAGTTCAGATCATGTAACCCGTCTGTGAACCTTTCTAATCTTATTGATAATAGATCGAGAGCTGTGGTTCCAACAAAATTACAGTTTGACGAGTCTACTGTGTCGAGTGATAATAAGAAAAGGAAATTTACGGACAGTAATGTTTCTGTCGGTTTGGGTGAAATCTCGGCTGATGATTCAGATTTGTCAGTGTTGGGTAAGTTATGACTATTTCAAATCTGCAGCGATAGTTGGAATTATTGTAGATGATATTATTGTTGTTGTTGCTGTTGTGCTAACTTTGTAATTGGCCACAGTGCTGTTTAGTTTGCATGTAAATAAACACGAATTGAATTGAATTATTATTCTCTTGCTCTCGAGGAGTTAAAATTTCGCATTATGTGTGAGGAGGCATTGCCCTGATGCACTGTTTCTTACTCAGGTTTACTTTGGTTTCAAATTCTGCTCTTCTCTTTTGGAAATTTTTGGTCTTAAGAGTTCCTGCTTGGTATATCAGAGAGTTTGCATTGTTCAATGTCTGCTCTTCATGTAAAAATTGTCCCTCTGCTAGATGTGCATCAACTGCTAGTGTTGTTTGCAGTGATGTTGACTTATTCGGAGCCAGGAACATTCTCCTCAATCCTTTTATATTATTATTATTATTTGGATGTTAAGTTAGCACACAAATAAGTAAGAATTAATTGGGTTGTTAATATTATTAACTTCTATATGTGAATGTACACATATAGTCCTTCTCGCCACATAATGGCGCAACTATTGGAAATATACTTATTTCACTTTTCTCACCTATTAATGATAATTTTAATTTTTCATGGAATTACCATTAATTTATTACTATTACACGTATATAGATTGACGTATTTTGTATTTTGTTTGTTAGTTGTTTTGTGTCTTTCTTCATACTTGTGCTAACTTTGTAATTTTCCTCTGAGCTGTTTGCATGTAAATAAACAAGAATTCTGTTGTTGTTGTTATTATTGTTATTATTATTATTATTACCTTTAATTAGTCTTGACTTTATGTTGTGTTTGTCCAGTATGTAACAACTTTTATCTACAATGTACTGTCTGTAATTGGCCTTGCAGCTGTTGTCTCACCACATAAATGATATAGAATTGAATTATTGTTATTATTATTATTATTATTATTATT